GGGTCAGCCGCGGGGCTTGTGGCAGGGGAGAGCGGAGATTTTCCTCCCTCGCGGCTTAGATACCATAAGCCCCTCAGCACAGAGCTACCCGATACCCCAAACGCTTTCCCATCCTGGGCTCCCAGCAAGTCCTCCGGGAGGAGGAGACATGGCCTCCCCCAGCCAAAAACCCTGTGGCCGCTTTCCCTTGCGCCGTTTCCCCCCTGGCTGCCTCGCGGCCGGGCGCTTAGGGCTCCCATGCCAACTGTGGAGGTTGCTTTCCAGCTCTTGCAGGCAGGGAAAATGGGAAAGAGGCGGGAGATTCCTGTAAGGAGCCCCCCGCTCCTTCCTGCGAGCGCTCAGGGCGAAGCGGAGCCCGGCGCCACGAGCGTTTCCCTGCCCCTTGCAGAGAGGAGACGTGGTGCAGTGCGAAATCGAGGAGCTGGGCACCATCCGGAACAAGGTGGTGTGAAGACGCTGAGCCCCGCCGCTGCGACGCGACCGCCTCCCCGTGCCTCAAACGCCTTCAATAAAACCACGGTTATGCTACCTGCTCTCTCTGTGCCAGCAGCCGAGGCCGAGCCAGATTTATTGTTGCCGGCACCCACAGCGGTCCGCAGCGCTGGGGCCAGCTCACCGCTCTGTGAACTGCTGGATGAAGGCCTCCAGCTTCTCCCGGTTCTCCCTGGAGCGGAAAGGCTCGCCGAGGCGCAGAAGGGGCCCTGCGGGGCTCGTCACCTCCTTCAGCACCTGGGGAGGCAGAGGAGCGTCACGGCGAGGTAGCGCGAGGCAGGAGCGGGGCTGGCAGAGCCCGGCTGCACTTACCCCCAGCTCCTTGAAGGTCTGCAGAGAGCTCAGGGCCAGGCTCCTGTTCGCCCACTCTGGAGGGAGAGGGAAAAGCCCGAGGGAGCAGGCGGAGGGAGCAGCGGGCATCCTCGTCCCTGCTCCTTGGCTGGCCAGGGCGCTGCCATCCTCCCCCTGCCCTGACTCACCGAAACTGCCGTCCTCTGCCAAGAAGCGCTGCAGCGCATCCACGTAGGCCGGCTCTAGGTAGGGGAGAGCGAGGTTCAGCGCCGCTGACTCAAACCCAAATGCCCTGCAGCCCCTGGAGAGGGCACAGCTGCTCTGCAACAGGGCTGAGCCACCACCGGGGCTGCGAGGAAGGGGGCTTCGGCTGCCAGCCGTGCCTCAGTTTCCCCCAAAGGAGCCAAGGCAAGTGAGGCTTATCTGGTTCGAGAAACGGTTGCCCAAGGTCGGCAGGCAGTGGCTGGGGGGAGAGGCACTGCCTGTCTCGCTCAGGCCAGGGACAGAAAGCAGCTCTACTCGCACCGCGAGGCTCCTACCGGGCTGGGGCCAGCTGGGCTCGTCCAGGAAAGCGGCTGGTCTCGCGTAGGGCTTCCGCACCGGACTCCGGAGGGGAAGAGGAGGAAGTCAGGCGAGCCGTGAGGCTGGCAGAGCTGAGAGGGGAAAGCCGGATGTGAAATGAGTTTGTTGAGGCTCAGCAGCCTACCTGGCCCTCAGAGACAGGGATGTCACCAAGAGCTGCGGTGCCCAAGGCCCCGGTCTCAGCACCCCACCTTGGCCGCAGCTGCCCCTGCAGTGGGGGGAAGCACCCGGGCCACATCTCCGGGTCAAGGCAGGGACTGAGGGCAGCAGGGCAGAGCTCGAGTACCTTGAAGCAGCGCTTGCTGACGTTGTCCTCATCATCGCTGTCGCTGTCCGCGAAGTCCATCTCCATCCAGGGCAGCCTCCTGAGGAAGGGCCGGTGGGCCACGTCACAGAGCCGGTGCTCGCGCTCCAACTGTGGGGCAAAGCCGCCGGCGTGGGGGGGACGTCTGAGCTGGCACCAGCCATCCGGGGGGCGTCCCATCCCCTCCGTCCCTGCCCAACGGGGCCCTCCCCAGCCCAAGACAAGCAGGACACTTGTCCCTTGTCCCTTCCTGACCGGGACCGGAGGGCAAGGGCTGCACCCCCAGGGGAGGAGGGTGCTGGGGGCACCCACCTCTTCAGCCTCCAGCAGCCCACACCGGACGAGCTTGTCCAAGACATCCTGGCTGTAGCACTCGAGGGTCTGGCAGGGCTGGGAGAGAGGAGAGGGGTCAGCGAGGAGCAGGATTCCCCCCAGCGCCAGGTGCACAGCGGTATCGGGCCACTCGCACGCAATGGCACTGCGTGCCGCCAGCCCTTACCTGGAGCCCCAGCAGGTTGAGGGGCAGGAGCCGGAGGAGCGCCAGGATCTTGCGGTACAGCTCGTCCTGGCTCAGCACCATGCCGCAGGGCCTGGTGACCATCCCCAGAAAGGGCAGCATCTCCACCAGCAAGGCGTGGATGGCACAAGCTGCCAGGAAAGCTGCGTGAGCGGCGTCATGGGTGCCCAAGCGCCCAACTCAGGGACGCCCGTGCTCTGCTGCTCACCTCCCACCGCCTCGCTGGCGAAGACGGGCAGGAGGGCCGCACTGTGGAGGCCCAGCTCCTGCCAAGCTGCCGCCGAGGCCTCAGGGACCACCAGGACGTCACCGGGCGGCGAGAGACAGTACACGGCGACGTGGGCGCTGAGCAGGGAGAGGCTGTGCAGCACCACGGCGCGGAGCTGCCCCGAGAAGCCCACATCGTGGTGGCGCAGCAGGATCTCCTCCAGGAGCCATGAGAAGTCGGACATGAGCCGAGAGAGGAAGACACCCTGCAGGAAGAGGAGCCTGAGCTGGTCCCCAGCTTGGAAACTTAAGTGAGGGGAACTTGAAATCACAGCAAACGCATCTCCCAGCCGCAGGAAAGGAAGAGGAACCTGGAAACCACCGTTCGTTCAGCCTCAGGGAGCCCTGACGGCTCCCTTGCCTTACCTCGCGGTGCTTGTGCAGCAGCAGTGCGGATGTGATCCCCACAGCCATGACAGCGGAGCAGGCAACACCGTCTGCAAGGGAGCAAGAAGTATTAGCTGTTGCTAAAGCTGTTGCTTTCCTCACGCAGCCCTTCTTCCCGGCTTTGGATGGGGAACTCTGCAGGGAAGAGACGGCGGCACAGGATTGTGGCTGCTCGCCCCCATCATCCTCCTGCCTGTGCCCCGCGTGGCCGAGATCCTCCTGCAGTCGCTCTCAGTGGTGGCACGTCGCATCCTTGCTGCTGCCGTCCCCCAGGCCGAGCAGAGCCCGGGGGCCAGTTGCCTCAGTTTTGCAGCGGGGGCACCACATCTCCTGCTGTTTTCCTCCCCCAAGCGCTCAGTTGTTTGCGCTCTTGATTTCCAGCTCGGCAACACGTGTGCTGCCAGGCAGTGATCACACCGCCGGGTGCAGCAGCGTGCCACACAAAAATAATTGGTAACAGCGATGTTACCCCCATGCCGACAACAGCGCTGACGCTGAAGCCATGAGGGGTGTCTCTTCTAAAAGCAGGAGATGGTGGCGCTCATGCACTGAGCAGCCTATGCCAGCGCCTTGAGGGTGCATTCGCAGCCCCCCCTTACCGCTCAGGGAGTGCAGGCCCAGCTTGGTCACCAACATTTCTTCTTCTGCCTTCAAGCCGGCAGCTGTTCCAGCACCTGGACCCCAAACCTCTGCCTTGTCGCCGTCCAGCTGGCTGGAGAGAACAGGGTGATGGATGTGAGTAACTGGGGGTGGCAGAAGCCATCAGCAGAGAGAGGCAGCCCCTCGCTGGGGTCAGATCCCGCTCACCACGTGCTGAGGATGCTGGGCAGCAGCAGCTCCTCCAGCGACTTCGCTGCGCAGCTCCGTCTGACGAGGTTTTTTGCTGCAAACTCCTGGGAGCGAGGAAGAAGGGACCTGTTGGCTCTGCAGCGCCACTTCCCAGTTACCATCCGTGCCACCCAGTTTCCCCACTACCCCCCCTCAGCTTCCCCTGGACCCGGGCTCACTGGATACACCCTGGAGAACACTGGATTCCCCCCCCTCCCCAGCCATCCCAAACCACTCGATCCACCCTGCAAGGATTTGAACAGGCGAGAACATCTGGGCAGCACATCCTGCGAGACCCAACGTGGGGGCTGTCAAATCTGGGGACCAGAGCCCTGCTCCTGCGGCACAGGAGCCCCGGGTGGCAATCCGGCTGCAGTACCTGTAAGGAGAAGGGCTGGGCGAAGTCCACCCGGACGCAGCCGAACTCTCGGCACAAGGCTCGGCACGCTGCCCAGAGGCAGGCGCAGAGGCTGAGGGGCTGAGCGCTGTCCTGGGAGAAGAGGTGAGCAAGGGGTTAACGGGGTGACGGGGGCGAGTGAGCAAGCACATGCGCCCCAGCGACGGCACTTGGCCGGCACGCTCCGACGCAGTCGCTGCGCCCGCGCGCTGCCAAAACCCGCTCTGCCCGCTCCTGCGCAAAGGGGAGCCCTCGTGGCGCCGCAGTAGAGCCTCTCACCGCTCGCTCCTCGCGACAGCCGTCGGGGGCCACGTCATAGGCGATGCCCACGGGGACCAGGAGGATGTCGGAGACGGCGCCGTCCCGCAAAGCTCGGTACACCAGGGCCAGCCACTCCCAGGCAGAGGCAGAGAGATGCAGGGTGCTGGAGAAGGGCTCTTCCAGGAAGATCAGCAGAGGCTGCCGGCTCTTCAGCACCTCCTCAACATACTGCTGGAGCAAACAGGGTGAGACTGGGGCAGCCATGGGGACACATGGATGCCCAGGAGCTGCCACCACCCATCGCTGAGGACTTTCCTTCAACCCTGCAACCTCGGTCAAGGGAAAGGCTTGGCCGGCTCGTGGTCCTGTGTGCCCCGAGACCACCCTAGGCACCCTCGCCAGGCGCTTCTTGAGCATGGGGCGGGGTGTTTCTTCCCTTCCAGCACCAGGGAAAAGGAAGGGGCTGCTCCCACCTACCGCAGCAAGTACAGCCCCTGAGAGCTCTTCGTCCTGGTCGCTCGGCATCTGCTCCGTCCTTGCGGGCAGGAAGACACCTCCCAGGCAGCTGAGCAAGGCCCTGCCAGGGGAAAGAAAATGCCCACTTAGCGCAGGGCTGCATCCCCCCGACACATGAAATCAGGGTTCCCATGTGGCCTCCGCTCTTGCCTCCAAGGGAAGCGAGAGCCGAGAAAGGCTACAGCCATCCCTCCCTGTTCCCCACCCTGGCTTGAGCTAACTTTGGGGCTTTCCAAGCGCAATTCCCTCCTCTGTTGGCAGGGAATAGGCTGGGCGCCCAAATGGTTGGAGAGAGCAGGAGTCTCCTACGCCTTACCGGAGGTGAGGGCTGCACGTTTGGCCACCCACCGTCACTCTGGGCACCCCTAGGCCCTGGGAGAAGAGGAGGAAGGAGAGCAGCAACCCATCCAGCTGTGACTTGTGCGTTGAGAGGAAAACCAGCGGCACGCCAGGCTGCAGGGAGGGAGAACACAATGAGGGCTCAGCGCGTTGCAGGGCCGGGACCTGGTGGAGCAGCGCGTGGGCCGAGACCGGGGAGCCAGGCTCCTTACCGTCCTGGCAGCCCTCAGCACCATCTCCAGCTGCCCACGGTGGAGCTGCACGTTGAGAAAGAGGCAGTTCAGGAGCCTGAGCAGAGCCCAGCTGCACAGCCTGCAGAGCGGGGCAGGAAAACAAGCAAGTGAGCAAGCCCATGGCTGGACAAACTGCCCCCTAAACCTTAGCTAGGCCACCAAACAACACCTGGAGCTCATTGGGAGACACGTTCCCTTCAACGGCCTCCTTCCCTGGGACGCGCCTTCACTTTGCAGAGGCCAGAAGGGCCGGGGAGCCCAGCAGGGAGGCATCCTCACCCTCCCCTGCCTCAGTTTCCCCATGTAGGCAGCAAGCAGGGCTGCGTGAGGCAGCACGCTCCACGGTATCTACTGGAAATCATGCTTCTCAGCTCCCGCAAAGCAAATAAACAGCTTTATTATAAATTAAGTTAAAACATTAAAGGCTGGATGTGACAGGACCACCCCCCTCTCCCTCCCCAACAACAAAAGCTCAAATCAATTACCCCTCCATCTCCCCCCTCCTCCCACACGCTGTTTACGGGAAGGAGTCAAATGCTTTTATCCCCTGAGTAATTTCTTCCCTTTAAATACTTCAGACTGCTCAGAGGCTTCTTTTATTACAGCTCAATCAGACAAGCAATTAGGTTACAATGCAACCTTTAATTGCCAATTTCTCAATGACAGGAGGGAAAAAAGTGAGAGAGAGAGATTGAGAGAGAGAGAGAAGGAAAGAAAAAGTTCCCCTTTGCTTTGCTTTCCACCCCCTCCCAGTGGGTTCCCCCCCACCCTGTCCCCTCCATTCCAGTGTTATATTCCAAATCCCTAGAAGGAGTCGGTGAAAGTATCACCAAGGGGCTGCGCAAGACCCCGAAGAGCGCTGCTATGTTGGGGCATGTCATGCCAAGGACCCCGTGGCTCCGCTCTGTCCCCAGCCCTCGAATCCAAGCCACCTGCCCCGCTGTCACAGCCCTGGGCTCTCGACGCAAGTGTCTTCCCCAAAAGGATCGCTCACAAGCGCAAGCTACCGAGCCACCAGGCAAACCCCCTTGCAAGGGGCTTAACGAAGCACACTGAAGAGAGTGAGAGGGACCCAGAGAGGGGAAGAGGGCTAGGAACCACAGAGAGACCGTGGGAACTGGGATCCCTCAAACTAGGGGCGAGAGACGCCTGCCAAGAGGAATCCCCAAGGGGGATTTGAACCCACAGCGCCACTGGAGAGGGAGAGTGTACCTCAGCATGAAAAGAGAGAGTGGGGCCTGAATTTGGGCCAGGATCTTGAGTACTTTTTCCCTCCATTGTAGCTGGGACTTGCTGTCCCCTCCAGAGCCGTGGGCCTGGCCAGCAGCAACATCCTGTACCCTGTGAAGAGGAGCATGGAGATGACGTGAAAAACACGGGCAGAGACCCAAGCAACAGGTTAATGTGTTCCTTAGCAAAAGCATTATATATTACAGTAATTATAATGTACTGGCTGCCAGCATCGTGCTTTATAATTAGCAGTGACAACGATTCAGGTGACAGTTGCCTGACAAGGCTGCATTGTGCCAAACGCTGCGCAGCACAAGCGAGACATGGCTCGGCCAAGGCAAGCCCAAGACAACCTCACCATCTGCCTGGGGCAGAAGGACAAGATGGGAGTGCTGGGTCCCCCCCCCAAGCTGGGTCCTCACATCCTCGGAGGGCTGAGCCCGCAAGAGGCGGTGGCAAACCTCTGCGCCCTACAGCAGGGCTGTGCCGGCCAAATCTGAGCTGCAGGAACTGCTCCAGCAGGGTTAAGCTGTTCCTACGCCTCCCTCCACTGGCAGCTGCGTCCCGCGTGGCGGCAGCAGCCCACTTTCGCTCTGCTCAGCTTGACAGCTATAAGAAACACCTAATGCCCCAGGTTTGCAAACGCCAGCTCTGTGCCAGCCTCCGGGACCCAGCTTTTCTCCTGCAGGAGCCTTCGCGTGCCATCCAAGCAAGGGACACCCCACGCGGACAACAGGGAGAGGGTCCCAGAGAGGCGGCTGCAAGAGCGAGGGGTCCCCAGCTAGGTGCTGCCCCCCGTCCTCCTCTGCCCACGTTCAACCACAAACTGAACGTGGGCGTCTTATGCCCAGGCAGCTTTTCCTCTGAACAGCTCATGCCTCCTTAACACCCCACTGAGACTGCTAACAGGTCTCCAAGGTGCTCTCCCGACACCAGCAAGGGGCAGGCTGATTAAAGCGCATGTTTCTTCAGCGTGGAGACGAGCACATCCCAGCGGAGGGTCTGGCTCTTTCATCGATGGGGCCCAGAGGTTTGGGGGACGAGGTCTGGGGGATTCCCAGGATGACCTATACAGCAGCCAGCTGGGTGCAAGAGGAGGACGTAAGCATGGACTTTGCCCAACAGGTGAAGATGGAGCCTCCTCATGGCTGCTGACACTGTCCCACTCCAGGGAGGGCAGAGCTGGAGCCGAACCCAGGTGTCCTGACACATTTGCTTTCCTTTCCCCAGCACATCCCCGGGTCCTGCAGTGGGCGTGCTGCTGAAGGTGACCGCAGAGAGCCCTCCGGCTCTTCCCACGTACCTTTTACTGTGGCAGATCCTCTCCGCGAGGTCTCCGGGGGTGTCAGCAGGGACTTTCCAATTCACGACCGCGCAGCGAGGAAATAGCAGAGTCTTCGAACCAGCCAGCCCCTGTACCTGGGCACGGAGACAGACAGTGACATCGAGCAGGTCATTAGAGGAGCCCTACCTAGAGGCTGCATCCAAAAGCATCCCCCGCTTTCCCAGGGTACTGGTACTCCATCAGCCTGCCTCAAAGGTGCCGTTTGCAAGAGCATAAAACTCTTCTCCCCATTTTACAGCTGGGGAAACTGAGGCACCAGCAGTTTCACTCCCCAGAGTCTAGTGCTCCAGCCCACCCTGTTCCTCCTCCCATCCTTCAGGGTGCCCACCCAAGGCAGGACCTCTCTTGGTGAAGAGTGCAGGCAGCAGCTGAAACGAAACCTAATTGCTAGGACTCGGCAGGGGTTTTCCAGGCAGCGAGAAAAGCTTTCAAGGTACGAGGAAACCTCAGCTCTCTCACTCCCATCCAGGGGGTAAGAAGTAGCAAGCTACTCCCACACTGCCAAGAGATCGACGTCTGCAGAGATATCCCGAAACCCAAAGCAGCTCTCATCAGCAGCAACCCAGCAAACAAACAGCCTCTGCCAGCAACTGGGATGCTGCAGTGGTCCAAAGAGGGACTTTCCCAAATCCGCCCCAAATGAGAGCTAGGCAGCACGAGCAGATTAGTGAGAGACATAACCAAGGTTTAAGATTTTGCAGAGCTAAAAAAAGAGGAGCACGTGGAAACCCAGTGAGTGAAAGGCTTGCAAGTGCCGGGACAGAGAGACGGGAACTTCAGACTTCTGTCTTCCAGCTTATGATCTCACCCGCCCATCACTGGCCTCTTTTTAGCATCCCGCAACTCCTGAGTTGCTCTGAGCAGAAATGAATTATTCAAAGAGTTTGAAAGCTGGAGCTGGGATATTTCAAGCAGAATAGAGCATAATGACCCGATTTGGAAAAATACGGCGCAGAATTGCTAAGCCCCTAGGGACTGCACTGTAACAGATAGGAGCCAAAGGAGTCCAGGACCTCCAAAAATCAGGCTGACTTCAACAACAGGCATTTGGCAAGCGAGCGGCTACTAAGCAGCCACGTCAGCTCCTCAGCTGGAGGAAAAGGCTGGTTTACCCCAGCTGAAAATTTGGATTTACAGCCTGTCAGGAGGAACGAGGGACTGGAAATAAGATGCTATTTCACATCTCCCAAGGGGCTAGGAGCTGGCTGGCCCAGGCCTGCTCCAAGCACTGCGTGCGTGAGCTTTTCCTTGTGCTGAAGCCAAAGAGGAGAATGAATCCCCCCCACCCCCGAGCTCTTCCCAACAGCATCAAAATACCAGTTTTCACTTAAAAAAAAAAAATCAACAATCCAAATCCTTGACTTTGTTACTGCCAGGCTGCGAGTGTGACAGCAACTAGAAGAACAGATTGAGTCTTCTCCTCTCTGTAGAGCTGTTATTAACGCTCTACACTTGGGGATGTGACTTTCAGCCTTGCAAACAATGATTAACATAATGACTTATTGGACTAAGTAACTAGCAAGGATGACGGAGAGCCGTCCCAACACCCGGGTGCAGCAGTGGGTGGTTCTTTGCACATGGATTTGGACAGAGAAAGAACAAAACCTGGAAAAAGCGATTTGCCCGGCTTCTCCAGCACAGTCCTGTCCTCACCTAGTGTTTTCCTCTGTCACCTGGATGACGTTGCGGAAGCTGAGAGAGGAGAACTGCTCATGGTAGAAGCGATCCTGAAAGCAGAAAGAGGAGGTAGCTCTTCTGGGAAATGGCAGCAACAGCGGGTCTGCCTTTGTCAAAGAAACAAGGACGGCTTGGAGAGGTGGGCAGGTTATGGACACGACTACCCAGCTGCTCCGCTCCAACCCCAAACCCTTGGCAGGGGATGCAAAGGACAACGAGGCCTGGTGGGTGGTGGCCTGTCCTCTGCTCCAGCATCTGGGGATCCCAAACCGCGTGGGAAGGTCAGAGCTGGCTGGAGTTTAGTCCAGGCTCCTGCGGATGGACGAAGCTGGGAGAGCAGGCCCACCGCTTTCACGCCCCTCAGCCTTTGGCCAAGCCACCACATCACACTCTTACCCAGCTCCTCGGGGTGCAGGTCTGGCAGCAACGCCCCACGAACGGACGGTACTTGCCCAGGAAAGGGGTGAAAATCTCCAGTTTCTGCCCCAAATCACAAACCCAGGTTTTCATCTGTGGGGGCAGTGTGGAAAAGAAAGAGAGGGAGGATGGCACAAACTCCCTGCTGGCACTGGAAACATGAAGTGTTGGCTAACGCTTCTCCAAACCTGCCTGCCTCGTGGCATGGAAAAAAATCCCACTGTGGGGGTTGCTGGGGAAAAAGGGAGCAAATCCACCCCGAAGGGTGGTCTGCAGAGGGGAGATCTTGGATTGCTCCCAGGCCTCGTGATACTGCGCTACCTCATGGCTACTCACAGAAGGGTCAGAAACCTTCGCTCGCCGCCAGCCCCGTCTTCCCTCTCCCTGGGGGTTTTGCCTCAGAGCCACCCTCCTCCCCGGCTGAGCCCATCCATAAGGAAATCACCTACGTTTGTCCGCTGCCGTCACGCCTCCTCAGCCAGAGGAGCACAGGCACCCAAATCTGGAGGGATCAACTTTGCGCAGGGCAGGGGTTCCCTGCAGGAACGAGTCCTTGGAGATGCGTCCGGCACGGCCCGCGGAAACCAGCTGGGGAGACATGGGAGAGAGGGAGTTAGCAAGAGCCAGGAGCGCGCCGGTAATGCTCAGCTCGTTTCGGAGGCGAGGAAGCAGCTCTGGCAGGTAGAGCCCAGGCCTGGGCCGCGGATTCAGCTCCCAGCCTTGCCCAGGGGCGCCAGCCAAACCCTTTGCCTCCATCCCGCCTGCGTAAAAACGGCAGCGGCGGCGCCCCGCCAAACGCAACTTTCATTCAGGAAACCTTCCACTGCCATGACCTGAGGTTTAGAGCAACGGGGCCGTGGCAGGACAGGACCCGCGGCAGGACAGGACCCGCAGGGTGCTGGGAAGGGAGATGCTGAGCCCCTTTCCCAACTCCAGGCATTTGCAGGGAAAAGACCTGCTCCTCGGCAGAGAGAAAAAAAAATCAATTGTTCTACAGCTTGCATATAGTGCAAAGGGATAAAGGGAAAAAAAAACCCCAAACCCGAGCAGCCAACGCACCAAAAGCCCTCGGGAAAAGAATTTTTTCTTTGTAATACTGCTCTGGTATCGTTACAATTGACTTTCCCCTCCCACATCCTCCTCCCCCTGGCAAGGGGATGCCAATCTGTACCCAAAAACCCCGCAGCGCCCATGCAGAGCCGAGATCCCGTCCCCCTCAATCCCCGAGCCACCCTCAGCTCTCGAAGGAGGGCTGGGGGGGGCTCCCAGCCCTGCCACCAGGCCTCCCTTTGTGCCTCAGTTTCCCCCTTGCCTGCCACGGCCGAGCGCTTCCAAGGACGCAGCCGATCGGCGGAGACGGGCACCCACCGCCGTGGGATTTCACCTTTCCACCGCTCCTCCAGGCACGGGCATGATACAAGGGGGAACGAGAAACTCAAAACAAGGGGGAGAACCACTCTTCCCAACAACTTCTCAGCTCTGCCACTGCCTCCCGATACGATCTCGGTCGCCTCACTCCATCCTGGTTTGCCCAGGAGGAAAACGCATCAATACCTCCGTTGCTTGAGGGAGCCACCCTTGGCTGCAGGGCTCTCCTCTGCTAGAGGTTCCCCGGGAATAACAGCGGCTTTGGCTGCTACGCCGCGAACAATCACACCGTTCAGAGCAACGGAGGTGCTATTCCCAGGAGCCAGGCAGGGGAACCCGCTCTGTTACTGGCCTTCCCTTTGCTTCGGGAGTTTGGCTCTCTGAAATCTGAAGAAGCTCCGAGTACCAGCCCGGCTCGCTACACCCAAATACCTGCCGTCCTACATCCTGGCGGCTAAGAGGCAGCACACACGAGACTAACGGCAGAGCCAGTTTTTTCCTCCGGAGGCACCAATTTAGGAGCCGGAGCACCATCACGCTCTCCTCTCGCTCGCATGGCGCCAGCGAAGCCTCGATTCGCCTCCGCAAGCTCACAAACGCCCTCCGAAGCCTTCCCAGGGCATCTGCCAAACATCTCTGAGGTCAGTTTGGCAGGGCAGGCTGGGACAGTGAGAACGGGCCGGTTATATCTGGCCGTTCTCGTCTGCTGGGGTGAGATTTAACACTGCCCCGCTTGCTATTTCTGGAAGCGTATCTCTCTCCAAACACTGGAAAGACCCTAGGGCTTAAATCTTCAGCATTTTGCACTCGTTAAGGACATTTCTCAGGCCATTTCCTCGGAGGCAGGAACGAAAAGTGCCGTTCAAAACCCCCAGCTACACAGGAAAACAAGCCTGCCGGGGTTATTTCACACCATGCAGCACCAATAGCATCTCCGCTCCTTCTGCATCCCGGGCTACTGACAGAGCCCTGGGCCCTGCGCCACGAAAATCCTTGATTTTCGAGCCCTTAAGAGTCTTTAAAACACAACCTTTCCGGGCTGGAGAAAGCACGGAGGAAAAAACGGGCAGCTTTTTGCAGTTAAATAAGCACACGGGTCCTTGGAGGATCAGGGAGACGGGGCATCCCACAATACAGGTTATTTGCCCAAATCCGGACCGCTCAGCGATTTCCACCTGCACGCGCCAGTGCCTCCTACAGCATAGCGTGCAGACGCTTTAAAGACATTTCTAAGTCTCTTTTTGCTTTTTTTCCATTTTGGAATACCATTTCCAGTCGCTTTTACTCCAAAAAGAGAAAAGGGAAGAAAGAGTATTTCAACGTGTTGGTTTTTTTTCTTATCAGGAGCGAGCTTGCTCCTGCAGAAAAAAACAAACCAAGAAAATCATGTCGAAAAGCCAGAAGGAAACAAAAAGATCAGGTCGGATGGAAGCATGTTCTGGGCTCATGCTGCAGCTTCAGGCCTGGCAGCGACAGCCGGGGTGAAAAAGCACCAGGAAACCAAAAAAAACCCGAGCATCGCCCTCAAGCAGGGCACGCTGCAAGGACACACCTGGCTTTATCGGGAATTACTCACGGCTCAGGGTGGAAAGCGCGTTATCTAGCCAGAGTCGGAGGGACAGCCCCGCGCGGGCGTCCTGCTGACGGCGGGCTCGGGGCTCCCGCTGTGAGCTGCGGAAATCAAGACGGAAACGAATGGACAAAAAAATCTTATTTTGGAGGCTTTCAGGGAGGCAGTAGGGGACCGGTGGCAGAGGGAAAGGGACCCAGCGCCTTCGGCTTTTGCCAGAGATCAAGGCAGAAAGACGAAGGCTTCGCATCGCTCCGAGGTCTTTGTAAAAAAGGCCTTTTTGGTTTTTTTTAATAATTTCTTCCCCCCCCAGCCTTCACAACTCACCTTCTCCCTGCTGCGCAGAGACCTGCCCTAAGTGAAGCGGGGTTGGGTTAAAAGCACAGAAACAACAAACAACAAAAAAAGCCCCCGCTTGAGGAATAAAGGGAGCTGACGTGAATCACGCAGGCTGGGGGGGTTTGTTTTTCTCTTTCAACCGCGCGTGGCTTTTCCCGGCGCCGCTTGTTTTCCGCCAGCGCGATATAATAGGGGCCTCGCGAGCCCCCGCCGCGCCCGGCCCCGCGCGGGGGGACGCACGGCCACGCAGAGGGACCAAAACCGCTGTTTTAGGCCCCTAAAAAGGCCCTGTGGGACCGGTACGGGGTGGGGGGGAAGCGGCAGGCTCCACGCAGGCCCC